GGCGAGCCTCTCCCTCCGCGGCCGCGCAGCGGGGGCGGGAGGAGAAGGAGCGCTCCCCACGGCTTTTTTTGAGGGGTAAGCATCGCTTTCCCAAGCAATCCACGTCTTGAATTCGGGGCTCGTTTTGTGTCTTTGGGAAAAGACTCCGCTAAGGTTTGTGTGGTGAGCTGGAAGGAAGCATATACCTACGTGTCCTCCTTCGCCACCTTCCCAGGAGAAGGGACGGGGCGAGCCCCGGCTGGGTGCGCTGCTGCTTATTGTCCCCCGGGTGGAAGGTAAGATAGGAGTCCGTACATAGAGAGATGAGGTGAAAATGGTTTATCTCGTTAGAACCCGGACCACAGGTGAACACTACACATTCTTTTATGACAAAAGTTTGTTTTATGAAATAAATTTTACTAAGCAATAAGCCAGAATGTAGAAAAATACATTTTACCTCCAAACTCAATAAACAAGGAACAAAAACTTTAGTAGTAGTGCATAATTATTTAGTGGTAGCTACAACAGGGGTTCCTAAACTTTTACAATAAGAGCTTGCATAAAACAGAACAAAGGAGTGAGAGAGCGTTCACAATCTTTTTTTTTTTTTCTCCCAAAAGAACATAACCCAAAAAGGTGACTCGGGTGGTTTAAACAGTGGATGAAAGGCGGGAGGTTCTACAAGAAAAAAAAAACAGTCAAAGAAGAAAAGCAACTCCGACCGAAAAATGCCAAGGCGAGAACCCTGCTCGTTACACATGATGAGAAGCATGGACAGCACTGGAGAGTAACACACTGTACTTTGCATCCAGGTCCAGTACCGAGCTGCCGGGGCAGTTGGGTAGCGGATCGGAGGTGGGGCGGCCTCTCCTTCCCTACGCCCCGCCGCACCGGCACCGGGCGCGCCCCGGGGCCGCCCCTCGGCTCTTCCCCACTCTTCCCAAACGGCTCCTAGCTCCGCTTTGGCTTGTTCGGCAACTCTGCCCGGCCAGCCAGCAGGACAGTGCACGGGGCTCGCTATCCTTGCTGCTAGTTCGGGATTTAGGAGAGGGAGGGTGTTTTTGTTTGGGTTTTTTTTTTTTTTTGATTTGGGTTTTGCTGGGAGGGGTTAACTATCTCTCCCTCCACTAGTCAACAGAGATACAGAATTTGGATCGAGCTGTTGTTTTCACCACAAGAGAATTATCGTCTAAGCTCATTGTTTGAGGAGACACTAATACAGATACAACTGGAATCAAAGAAAGCAGAAAGAAATCGAAATCTAGAGCAAAGGGGACAGTGCCCCTTCAGAGAGGCTAGTGGCAAAGGAGCCTGCCTTGAGACTCACCGCGGGAAGAATCTGCTTCAGCAATTCTCCCAAATCATTTTCCTCATAATCCCCTGGGAGCAGGGCATCCTTCTCTATGTACAGTAGCAAATGGTGAAAATTAATGTCTTCGACCCTGTCGCGGATAAAAATACTATCCTTTTAATTTCCGTTACAAAAATAGGAGTAATATTCAAAACAATGATTGTCTTTTTTTCTATTTATTTTATATAAAAACATAAACAGCTCAGGCGAATTCTTGTTCTTGTGCAGGCTTTATATGAAGATTTGTTCTTTAGTATTCGTAGTAGTATTTATATATATATATTTATATATTATATATAACTTAATGATTGGTCCACAAAGTAGATCTGTGCGTTTCTCTAGTGCTTTTGTACAAAAGAAAAACAATATTATTATCAAAATATTCATTTAATGGCTTTACTTCATACATAAATACATGTTTCGATAACACAGGAGCGGTGATTGTTCAGTCAGTTTGGAAATGACTTTTGTTTTTGTTTTGATTTTTTTTTTTGTTGGGTTTCTCTCTCTCTCCCTCTCTCTCTCTCTCTCTCTCTCTCTCTCTTTCTCTCTCTCTCTCTCTTTCTTTTAGGACTTTGTATACACAGGAGTGGCTGGTTACTCATCGCTACAAATACGCTACTCGGCGTCCTTTGTTTTTAACTCTTTGTTTATACCTTTTCCCCAGGACGGCTGCTAAGTATTTCTTGACAGCCATTTGTTTCCGGTAGCGGCTGTAGCTGTCCGTGAAGATGCCGTCTATGTGCCGCTTGGTGAGCGGTTCCGCCTCGTCCCCCAGGCCGCTGCTGGCACCGCTGCAAGGGCCGAGAAGCACAGCTGCATCAGGAGGGGCCGCCGCCGCCCCGCACCGCCCCGCGCCG